ACTCATCTCACATAGGTTAACCTTCAGGTTCATCTTTACCAAACTAATACGGTGATTACATCTTCTTCAAACCTATGGCTACCTTCAGATTCATATTCACTAAATGTATACATCGCTTTCGTTTATGTTTCAAACTCTTTTTATGTATTATTGTTTAGTTTTTATTTCTGCTTATTATTTATGTTTCAAACCTTTAAAATATAATGTTTAAATCTTATCTATAATTGTTTTTGTTTTAAACCTAACATATAATGTTTTGACTTGTTTATGTTTCTATTTATGTTTTTGTTTGTTTTTACTTGTAGGTATGGATGGGGATGAAAAAATTAGCGAGGATGAAGCTAAAGTGAGCACAACAAACTTATGTGAGCACTGTAAATACATGCTTACTGCTCTCACTTCAACTTCATCCTTCTTTCCTTTCATTTTGGATTTTATTATGGGACATGTATGTTCTATGTTGTTTAAGTTTGTTGTTGATGAAGTTTGTTGTTAATATTTGTTTTAGTTGAGTTTATTATATATTATGTGGGTTGCTTTTTTTTCAACACCTTACTGAATATATAACATTTCAAATTGTATTAGAAAATTAGCTACACGTTCAATTCTAGACAAGATCCTTCAGCTCATTATCTACATTTTTCTCTTTAATAGTGAGAACTTGGTTTAACGCTTCTTATTTTTCAACCTCCCCTTCCTTCACCTCTAATTTAGTTTTCAAGGTAAATAATAAGTTACAAAATGAACTAGAGGTGAAGGAAGTGGTGTTGAACAAACTAGGAGCAATAAAACAAGTTCTAACAATTAAAGAGCAAAATGCAAATAAGGACCTGAATAGTTCTTGTCTATTATTGAACGTGTAATTTGTTTTTCTAATATAACTTAATTTGTCGTATTATAATGTTCAAGATCAGACTAAAAGGATATATGTTTAGTGTGTTAGAACAAGATTTATATATGTGTTTAAATATCAAGTTTTGATGATAACAATGCATATATTTTATGTAGAACAATTTTATTTCTAATAGTTTCATTGAGTGTGCAGATATTAGAACTCTGGATAGTCTTAATCAAGATATCATCATAATCACTTTAGCACTCAGAAGAAGAACCATTGAGTTTGTTTCTAACAAAAAATCAGTAGTTTTGTTGAATGCAAAAAGTTCAACAAGAAAAGAATCTCGATAAGTTTCTAATAAGAGCTCAAGCTTCAAAGATCATAAATCAAAGAGCCAAGAAGTCAAGATTCAAAGATCAACTCAGCACCAGAATCATGATCTGAATCAAGAGCTATAAAGTCAAGATATCAGAAATCAAAGAAGTAGCTGATAAAAGCTTTTGCTTACAACTCAATATCAAGAATGAAGATATCAGAAATGAAGATGCTCAAAAACAAAGATATAAGAAATCAGAGCTTAGAATTAAAGATATCAAGATATCAGAAACAAAGATCTCAGATATCAAAAAGAAAGAATTCATGACCAGAAACCAAGATGTAGCTGACATACGATGTTGCTTTTAGCTCAATCCAAAGATTATAATTCAAGAGAACAGAAAGAAAGAATTCAACGTCAAAATCACCGATATAAGTTGTTGCTTCAGAAATCAGACATCTGATATGCAACTCAAAAAAGCTATCATCAGAAATAAAAGATTGGATCAAAATGAATTGACCAGAAAATCAAATGTACTAATATAAGTTTATGCTTCAGAAATCAGACATCAGATATGCAGATCAAAAAATCTGTCATCAGAAATCAAAGATCAAATCAAGATGAATTAACCAAAAAATCAGAGGTACTGATATAAGCTTCTGCTTCAGAAATCAGACATCAGACATGTAGTTCGGAAAAGTTGATAATCAGAAATCAAGATCAGATCAAGACATAGTGGACCAGAAAAGCTTTCATTCATAAAGAAGTTGTTCCTCAGATTAGCTATTGCTTGTATATCTGAAGACAATGTTCAAATATCTGAAAGACTCTGACTCTATAATAAAGAAGCATCTTTTGGATCACTATCATTCTTCAATCAGAATTAATCCAGCAAGAAGAAAATAATTAAAGCTCGGAATTTAAAGACTTGAGAATCAGAAAGGTTGTTGCCTCAATATCTGATTTCAAGATCCAAACATCAAAAAATCTTTTGATATCAACTTCAGAAAAGCTTTCTCATACAACGACAAGACTTGTTTCGCAGATAAGTTGTTGCTTATATATCTGAAGACAAGAATTCACTAATGAAAGAATCTGAAATGAAACATCTTCTCACTTAATCTTCATCTCTCAGATCAGATAAGATATGTGCCTTCAAGACTAGTTCTAAGATCAGAAGTCAAGCTTCATGTTTCAGAAAAGTTGTTGCTATTATTTCTGAACACAAGTCATGGTTCTGAAAACTCTGATATTCCTACTATACAACAACAAAGTAGTTTCTGAACTACTCATCAGTTATTCATCAGAAGAACAAAGACAAAGTAATTGATCTCTTCCAAGCTTAATACTTCAGAATTAGAAGTACATCATCAGAAGATAAAAGATTAAGAAACTTATTCAAGAAGAATACAATATAAACAATACACAACAAATTCCACTATGATAATATTGGTCGTACTACTCATAAAAGTTGTCTCCCACAATCTTATGCTAACAACTGCAAGCAGCCTGCTAAGGAAAGTGATGTTTCATACTATTCCAAACCTCTCTTGAATCTATCAGTTGAGAATTAACCATTGGAAAGAGAAATAACTTTTCTATCCTTACAATGAATCTTTTTGAAGGCTATATAATAAGATCAATAGACTGATTTCAATTTGACGAAGTCGGCGATATTGACGGCGATGAAGTCCACAAACAAAAAATGAGAGATAAAAAGAAGATATGAAAATAAAGAAGAGGAAAATGAAAATGATGAAGAACACTACAAGATGCTGCACTCAAATTTAGATTATAACATCTTTGTAGAATTATGTAAAAGTAAGGAGTTATTGCTCATATCCTGCTAAACACTTTTGTGTTTTATCATGTACTTAAACTAGGAGTAATCTACTTGTTAAGAAGCATTCATGTAATCTCCAGAAACAATTCTTTTTAGAATTGGTGATGCCTCAAGTGATCGAGTGAAGATTTGTATACTTGAGAAGACTTTGACAACTGGTCATCGTAGATGAAATCCTTGAGGGGTCAATGATCGTTATATCTCTTAAGGGTACCAGGTAGGTCAGAATTCTTAAGGGATCACTAACTGTATGATCATTATTGTTGTTAGTCACCGGTTGGGAGCCCGTACATCTGTAATATGTTGAGATTAGTGGATTAAGTCCTTGTTAAAGGCAAAATCATCCGAGGAGGGTGGACAAGATGTAGCCTTATTGAAGGTGAACTTGGGTAAACTGAATGTGTCTCTTTATATTTCTAGCATTCTATATTCTTTCATAGTGATTATCAAATAGTTTATCAAAAGGGAAAAGTTTTTGAAAACCCAATTCAAACCCCTTATTTCTTGTATTTTCTCTACCTTCATAGTGATCATTAGTTAAATAAGCATTCTACATAATTTATAATAAATTTAATGTATATACCTCAATGGTTGTTTACAACCGTCGTTGTTAAAAGTTTTTCTTTATATTATATCACAACGGTTATTTGGAATAATCGTTATGGTAGGTAGCAGACCATTGACATATAATCACGACCGCACACCCATGATGGAAATCATCATACATATAATCATCATTTACCTTATAATGGTTGGTCATCCATTGTGGTATCCCTTTTCCATCCGTTGTGATATCCCTTTTCCGTAGTAGTGAGAAACAAAATCAATTTTATATATTATCTTAATATATCTCAAACCAAGACGTCATTTAGACAAAGGTGAGAAAATAACCTTCAAAGATGTAGTAACCAACTTATTATTGTCTATGCTACATGACCATATAGAATTTCTTATGCAAGAATTCAGTTTGTTAAGAAGATTGATTTGCCATTCATAAATTCTAAGACTATTAGAAGCATATGTCTTATATGAGTGAATTAATCGATTAAATTATACCCATCGCACAAAGAAGATGGCCCTTTAAAGTAGTTAGTTTGATTAATATTCTATCTGATATGATCTGAAGATGATGTAGACTTGCCTTTGAATATATGGACTCTAAGATAGTTAAATGTTGTATTTCCCAAATTGAATCAAGGTGTATCTACAATGCATAAGAGTATTAGTGGTTATGAATGATTGTCGTATCAACTAATATGTATGTTAGCTTATCTTAATCCACCAACTTAGATAATTGTCTACTGAATATCTCTTCAACAATGTAGAAGAACAAATGAGTCAAATGATCTATTTGCCTCACTCCTCTAGAGAAAGAAAAAATCCATGTAACATTCTCATTTATCATTATTGACAATTTGACTTAGCGGAGAATGGTAAAAGTCCCATCATAAAGTTTTTAGTAAAAGTCAAATTGAACAAGAATTTAAAAAGGTAATATCAATCTTAAGTATCAAAGGCTTTTCTCATATCTATTTTCAAACTATGTTATTTTTATTTATTTATCATTTTAAATTCAATGCAATACTAGATATAAATTTGATAATAATATTTTTTATTATTTATTACAGAGAAATAAATACATAAATAAATAGTAAGTGATTTAAGATATTAATAATAGAAATTGTTGATTGTTTTTAATTCACAAATTTTTTTTATAAAAATTGTTTAAAAAAAGTGCATAGAGTATATTAAATAAGGTGTTTATAATGTTGATTAAGGAAAACCATTTTAAAAGGATAATTATGCTCACAATAAGTATTACAGGTTTTCAATATGGTTTTCTATGTCACAAGCCGACCAAATCTTTCAAAATAGATATCTCTCATTACAAACAAATACTCATCAGTGTATCTTTAAATTATTGAAAAAGCCAAACACAATTTTCAGCAAACTTACAAATTATTCTGATTGTAGTTCTCTCCGACAATAACATATTGGAGGTTCTATGTGGTCTTCTCAGAAATATTATTCTGATTGTCTAGTAATTGAGAGATTATGCCTCAGGTTTTTAACTATATGAGTCACGTTCATGCAGTATTTATCATTCATCTGCAAAATAGTTTAAAATCACTTTTAAAGTTAATGTTTTTCTTTAACGTTTTTTTACTCACTCTCAAATTATATTTGATTGAATTAAAAAAGTTAATAATTACCTGAGCAATGATTGTAACCTTAAGAGTGGAATTTCCAAATGGTAATATGCTACTACTAGCAAGTGATAGATGAAGATTTTGAAGCAACCCCATTATTTTAACCACAGTATTCTCTTGTTTCTCACAATGGATTCCAACCATAATTTCATTATTTATCACTCTTGCTTTAACCTTAGGTAGTTCTTTTTTGAAATAATATTCATCCTCATCAATATCATCCTTTTTTGTGCAAGCTTGAGATTTCTTGATCAATATTTCTGAATATTTATTTTTCATTTTGTTTTGATTGTCCAGCTCTTTTATTTTCTCTTCAAGTTGTTTCACATATTTGATAGCTTCTTCTAGTATGTATACCTTATCTGTCTATACGAAAACATATATTATTTAAGTTACATATAAAGAAACAATAAAGTAAAGAAACTATTCATAGAGATGACAATTAAGCATATACTAAGTGAGTACTCCCAAAAATACTAACAATAATATGGAATTTTTTTTTTGAAAATAAACACAAGTAAATATCCACTAAAATAAATAAACATGAATACTAGTATAAGTATTTAATATCACACCAACTTTTTTATAAATAAACATGAATACTAGTATAAGTATTTAATATCACACCAGATATGGTATTTAATATCACACCAGATCTAGTATAAGTATTTAATATCACACCAGATATTCGTTTATTTATAATTTAATAATAAAGTCTTAAATACCCACACAGATATGGTATTGGATACAAGATTTTTTTTTAAAATCATATGAAAATGAGTAATATAGTACTGTGTCCAAATTTTATCTATTATTATCTCTAATTATACACGACTAAGGTTAATTTAAAGGTATCGAAGTGAGGCAGTCCCGTAAGTCTATAGTTCTTTTAAATTTAAATTAATATTTTTATTGTAATTAGTGATAATATTTTTTATAAAAAAATCATATATTATACTTTTTATTATAAGTTGTATTGATTAATTTTTTATTAATTAATTTACTAAAAAATTAGTAAATATTGTAAATGGATTTCATATTTTTTATGTAGTTTAATATTATTAAATTTTAAATTTTAAAAGTTGATAATATTTTTTATAATTTTAAGTGGTACAATTAAAAATTTAGTGTTTGTTTAATTTCAGTTTTGAGAAAACAATGATTATTGACATGTAGAATTAATTTGAAATGTTTTATTTTAAAAAAAATAATTATTTTTGCCTCTATAATAAATTTTACTATAATTTATATTTTTGTGATGCATTTGTTTATTAAAGTTTATGTATTTAAATTGAAATAATAAAACTAATAAAAAATTAATCAAATACCTTTAATCAATTTTTAACAATTTTATTTTTTATATTTACTAAAAGTGTACTAATATAAATAAATTAGTATATTAACAACTTTTTAAAAAATTAATATTAATAAAACAATATAGCTAAAGTTGCACAAAAAAATTATCTACTCTATAAAAAAATTAGTATAAACCTAATATTTAAATATATATTTTATTTATTAATAAAATGCATTCTAAAAATACAATTTTTAAGACCCATTTTATAGAAAGATTGCTATCATCATTACATCAATCATTCAATTTGTAAAGGATATGTAAAAATTTAAAAAGGAAATGTGCACATGCAATTGGCAATTTAGCAGAACGGTAACAATGCTAGGGAAAGTAGATATTGTCGACCTTTTCAGAACATGCGGTGTTTCTTTATGCCTTTATGCATGAAACTCTATCTTTGTTAAAATTGAGTTTCACTTATATCTTTTTCTGACACTATAACTCTAGTCCCTAACATTATTTTTAAAATAATCTTCCAATTCATTTATCTAATTCTTAAGCTTTGTATGTTAAAATTAGTAATGTGCATATAAAACATTGTATACTCCACCTTTCTAATTATTTATAAGACCCTTTAGTTTTTTTTATTTATGGATATCAAGAAGAAGTAGTAGTGTAAATATGTAATTTGTTCGAATCTTATTAAATTACCTTTTATATGTAAATACATTTAGTACTGATTATATATATATATATATATATATATATATATATATATATATATATATATATATATATATATATATATATATATATATATATATATATATATATATATATATATATATATATATATATATATATATATATATATATATATATATATATATATATATATATATATATATATATATATATATATATATATATATATATATATATATATATATATATATATATATATATATATATATATATATATATATATATATATATATATATATATATATATATATATATATATATATATATATATATATATATATATATATATATATATATATATATATATATATATATATATATATATTGAGACAAGTAAATGTCACATGCCCTTTCAAAAAAATAAATTAAATTCTATACTGTGAGTGAGTTTTATATTGATGAAATTACTATGAAAATGTATGTTTCTTGATATTAACTATATTTGTGGATATTTTATGATTTAAATTTTTTAGATAATATAGTGTAAGATGAATTGGACTTTAACAAAAATATATTTAATTAGTGTTGATTTTTTATATCCTAAATTAAATTGGTAATATTAATAAAAATATATTTTAAAAAACTAACAAATGTCACATGGTGAGTAAGTTGTTTTAATGAAATTATTATGTGTGATTTATGTTTATTGGTACCGATTATATTTGTAGATATTTTTTGACATTTTTTAAGTTCTTAACTAGTTATATTTTCAAATAATAAAATATTTTTTAAATTTTTAATGAGTGTTTCGGAGGCATTCAATGATTTTTATTTTAATAAAATACATTTAGGTGAGTTGAAACGGGAAGAAAATAAGAGTTAAAACGGATGTTTAAGTTTAACGAATACTTATAGAATTGCTATCCATCAAGAGATTTTCAACTATATAGTAGGAGTTGAACGCAAAATTTCTCGATGTTAGTGACCTCTTTAGGAAATCATCTAAGATGTAACCATCATTAGCTATGAGTCAACTTTTTATACACTTTTTTGTTAAAACTTTAATGTAATTATTATAGATCTCTACTATGTCAATTTATTTGTACGTTTATAATTTATTATTTTACATTTTTAACCTCTCTCTATAGTCTTTTGAATATTTACATGAAATACACAATAATCTGATAGAGACTAAAATCTCCTTTTTAAAGTATTTAGAATTGAAATGTGTTTTGTAATACTATTAATTAAAGACTAAAATGACTCTTGGTTCCATAACATAGCAAATGTGGTGCATGCCATGATGGATGAAAAAAATTCATATAAGCTAAAAATTCTAAATTTTTATATATTTTTGTAAGAGATTAAAATTAGTATTTTTAATTGTCTCGGACAAAGTTAGGTTCTGAGATTTTATTAGGGGTTACTTTGGGTCTTCACTAATTAAAAATTCAAAATTTTAAAAACTATTTATTAAAAGATTAGAATTCGGGCCATTTTTAAATAAGTATATATGCAAAGCCGCTTCACCAAATAACAAATATTATTAATCATTTATTTAATAGAATGATATTTTTTTAGTTTAATTTTTGTTGAGATACTTACATATTTGAAAATTTATGTAGCGATTTTGATTTCACATTAAAATATTACATAAATAGTAAATTGGGATTCAAATAGAAACTGTTAGGTCAACATCCTTGACTCAAAATAAGGTGGAGATCATCCAAATTCAAGAATCATTAAAATTGATAAATCAAAAACTTAATTTTAAAATTAAAATGATCAAAACTTTTTTGAAAAGAAATAAACAATAGAATGACTAAAAATACATTTAAGTCAAAAATAAAATTTATAATACTAATTCAAAAGAAAGAAAATTATGAAACAATTTAATTAATTATTTAAGAAATAAAATATTGAATACTTGATTATGATGAATCTATGATTTAGCAATGATATTGTAGGTTGTATAAGAAATGAACTAACCTTCTTCAATCCAGGAATGGTGGCAGAAAGTGCTATGAACCTCTCACCAATAACTTGTCTTCTTTTTCTCTCAGCCATTATATGATCTTGTATCTCAGATGAACTTCTACGCTTCTTGGTTGTTTTCTTATTAATGTTGGTAACTCACTGCTCTCATTGTGATTCAATGTTGTTGTTTTTGGGTCCATGATGGAAGAACATGTAGCAATGGCACTATTAGGAGAAGGTTTCACACATGAGTTTTCAAAAGGCAGAAGGTGTTGAGATGGTGTTTGTTTTGAATTAGCATCATAATGTTCTTGAGAAATGAGACAATTTGAGCTAATACTATGAATTGAAGATTTGACATTATTAGAACCCTCAAAAGAGAAACTTGGTTGTTGCACATTCTCTATGTCAAACTTGTCTTCATCCAATGAGTGACCAATATCCATTTCCTATAACATATACAAGAAAGAAACAATCATATGATGTATAGAAATATATTAAACATTATATCAATATATGAAAGTATTATAGTATAGAATAGAATAATATAACTCATGTGTGTGTCTCATTACCAAAGAAGAAATCCATGTTTCCCATACATCTTCCATCCAAAGAAAACTTGTGAGAACTGTACCTTAATGTGAAAACAAATAACTTACATAGATATTTAATACTAAATATGGTAGCTGTACCCAACACAAAATTGCCTTCCAGCTTTAACTAGACCAATCAATTTTTTTTTGTTGATAAGATCTACTAATATATGGCTTGTCTTGTTTCACGAATTATTTCAATAATTTAAACATATATGGGGCTCACTTCACTAGACGTACGGACCCATGTTATGAAATTTATGGCAGAGATTTCACACAATATAAAATGATTTAAATATCCACAAATAAAGGTGCATGTTTGAATTTCACACAATATAAAATGATTTAAATATCCACAAATAAAGGTGCATGTTTGAATCATGGGTGAATGTCATATGGTGGAGTGCATTGAAGTTTGTTATGTTATGGAACCAGAACAATATAACGGTAAAATGAGATTTTGGTAGAATTCAATAAGTTTTCAATGCGATATAGAGGAGATTGACTTGTAAAATTAACATTTCAATTTTTAAGTTAGGGAAAGGAGAAAAAGTAACGTGAGAGTGAGATTGGATCTGAATATCTGAAATGATACGCTTTCTCTTTTATATAGTGAGTGTGATTAAAATCATTGGCATGTGATGCGTGTTGTGCCGGTAGCTATTGTATATAATTAGATGGTGGTGCATGTTTAGAAGGAGAAATCGATCGTTCTTGGATGAATGAGGGATCGCATGTGTTAGACGATGTGACAAATCTAGAAGGGGGTTGAATAGATCCCTTTGAAAATTTTACGCTTTTTATAAAATTATTTTTATCAGAGACCGAAAGCCCTGAATCTGATCTTCTAAACTTTATGTATTGGAAAGATCGGATATGCAAACCAATTTAATGAAAATGATGAGAATAGAATCACAACTAAAATTGAATATGATGAATCACTTTATCAAGTTTTAACAAGGTGTAAGTTACTACCAATTAGTTGCGGAGAAGATAAAGCAAATTTGTGAGTTGTAAATTCACCAAACACTTGGTGTACGTACTACATAAGGTTTGGTTTATACTCAAATTATAGTGGTTATAGCAATTTAAATGAATGTTATATGAGGTGTAAAGTGTTAGTTTGTCACTACAGTTATTTTGTATGAATGAAGGAATTAGTAACTCACAAATTCAAGCAGATAGAAATAAAATGCAGAAAACTATAATGGACACGATATTTGTTAAGGCAGTTCACCCTATCATCCTCACGTGGCTACTCTGCCCCCAATTCTAGAATCTAGAATTAGGATATGAAATTAATTTGCAAAGTTTGTAAGAGAAGATACAATCACTACAATTCAAGGTCACTTGATGAATCTTATATGTTGCACTCCTCTTCCCTTGATTCTAGATGAATCAAGTATGCCAAATCTTGAACAAAAACTTGTTCTACCTTGAATCATTTTGTACCCAAGAAATTTGCCCCAAATCCTTCTTCACAATCCTCCGATTACCGCTACCCCGATTGAATACCCCACAGTCTTCAATCCCTTAGCTCGGCTGAATTCAATGAAGCAAAGATTTGTGATAAAACCCCCAATTTTGGAGGACAAAACCCCAATGGTTTTATTCAAGAAAAAATCCACAAAGATCTCTACCAAATCTGAAATTACACTTTCAATTCGGACGTTATCAACACAAACCCAAAAACTTGATCAACAAAAATGATTGTGTGTAATTGTTGATGGTTGATGAGAGGTTGAAGATGAAGAGAGCTCTTGTGTCTACCTTTCACTTTTTCTTGCTATTTTATATCAAAATAGAGGCCAAATAGTATATATATATATATATATATATATATATATATATATATATATATATATATATATATATATAAGTGATTCCTGTGATGTAACAACATAGCAGAAAAATGAGACAATATAGCGATGCGTCGGCTCATGCAGGGTATACAGAAGGCGTGCACCTTCCCGAGCGAGAGAGAGGTTGAAATTCTCTCAGTTATGCGCTGACTCATTGCTTGATGCGCTGACTCATGTTTTCCCAGAACTATGCGTCGACGCATAGAGAAGGCATGCGTCTTCCCAACGAGAGAGGTTGAAATTCCTTCAGTCATGCGCCAACTCATTCCCTGATGCGCCGACTCATGTTCTCCCAGAACCATACGTCGACGCATAGAGAAGGCGTGCGCCTTCCTGGATGTTTTCAAGCCAAAATCTTCTTCTCATGAGCCGACCTAAGGTTCCATGAGCCGGCTCATGCAGTCTGTTTTGAGATAAATGCTTGTTTTTGATGTTTCTCACTTGCACCTGAGATATTGCATATTTGCACATATAGGTTTTTGACAATCATTAAAAAACTCAGTTCTTTCACTTTTGCCTACTTTTGCCCTTACAACATGTTCCACACATTAGAGTTGTTCTTGGGTCTTTTGCTTTGGACCTTGCGAACGTCTTAAAGCTGTTGGCATTCAAGCCTTTGTCCCTGCTTTATAGAACAAGGGTTTGTCGTGTATCCCTAGTCTAGATGCTTGGCCGGAGTAGACGAAAAGTCTTGATGGGACGTTAGTATCATTAGGAACAAGCGCATTAAATATCTTTCTTGTAATAGGTGGTGTTTCGCATGGAGCTTTTGACACATGTCCTTATGCTGATCAATAATGAAGTTTCCTCTACCTCAAGGCACTCGAGTACTTTGAGAAATCTTAGATGAAATCTCGATAATTAGAAATGTGTATAGTATTTCTTAACGTGGTGGATCGTATGGTCCTCTGTAACAGAGGTTCGTGAAGCATCATTTTCCCTTTTTTTGTCATTTGTGAACTACAAAAGCTCTTCTTCTTTGCATCGTCAACTTCGTTCTTTCTTGTGAGCTCTTTTGCATTCATTTTTTGATTAGGTTCATTTGTGATATCTTATTTGGTGGAATATAAGACTCATAGGAGATCAACCCATTTACTTTAAGGTACATTCTATATGTTTAAGTTAAAATTTTGATGTTTAACAGCGAGAAAACTTGTTGAGGTTAGATTTTTTTGACCTATTGTCATGTAGAATCTTTGACCAGTAATATGAAATTCTAATTTGTTATTAATATTACTACCTGAAACTCTCATCGCAACTCATATTTGAGTCAACGATGTGAGATCAACCATATTACCTTATAGAAAATCTCTCAGTCTAGCAACCAATACGTCAGCATTAAGTTTCATAAGTTAAAACAAACATTGAACTTAAACCTATGTTTATACTTTAGAAAAACCAATATATGAAAGACTTTGATCTAGTAATGACCAATACCTTTTGACTATCAAGTCATACTATGAAAAGATGTTTTAGGTAACTAATCCAAAACAAGTATTAAGAACTAAGAATCCATCAATATTAAAACTTAAGAAGAATCACATATAACATATCATGGTCGATCGAGAATAAAATATAAGTACTATATCACAACTACATTTAGTCCCCAACAAAAGAAAAAATTAGCCTTGATCATTATAGAATTACAATCTAAGTCCTAGAATAAAGAAGTTGAATAGAATTTCGTGATGATTCCCTGAGTAGTGCTTTCTCCCTCAATCTTCCTTTCTTATTCTCTCATATTGTAATTTGTGGTGAGAATCTAATTTCTCTAAGAACTACCTCAAATCCACTGATATCTTTCAAATTAACTAACAGACAGTCCTATTTATAGGGTTTGAAATGGTAGGTTCGTTTAGCGCGCCTATTTTCTTCCTTGCTACACAATGTCAACTCACCTGCAACTTACCTTAGCGCCTTAGCTTGCTAAGCGCACCGTCCAAAGTCATTTATCGCACAAACCATTTCTTCACCTTGAAGTAACTTATCCCTAGTGTCATGAACCACATTTGCTCGCTAAACGTGCATGTGTTCTTAGCTTAGGAAGGTTGTCGCCTTTGCATGTTAAGTGTGCCTATGTTCTTGACTTAGCAGACCTTGATTTATTGGAAAATTTCTTTGACCTAATATGTGTTTCTTCAGTGATTTCTTAGTTTTTTTTTTCCTGTCTTTAGTGAATAAGCAATAAAAATGTTCAAACATCCCTGAAATTATATTTTAATTAATGTTATCGAATTGCACAACCATCCTAAAACATATTAGACATGAGCAAGTAAATCATCAAACCCTAGAATAATCTCTTGCTACTTGCATCGATGGACACATTATACTGTTCAGGACATTGTTTTATCTCAACCAAATAATTATCAAGTTTGCTTCGTTTTATCAAAGGTAAGATTAGCGATTTCCTCATGAAAAACATTTATTTATCTAATTTACATTTTCTCTGTCTAGTTTACCAGAGATGGTCGTGGGCTCATCATTCTATTAGTTTATTTGGGAAAAATATGTCATTACTAAGGGAATTGAGATCTTTCAAGCTTAAGGATATAATATCAAAAAAGAATGTTCATGGAATGATAATCACATCCCTTCTTTACGTACCATATGTACAAAATTTTATTTCTTACATTAGGACAAAGCATAAATGTATAATAGTATAAAAGAAAATAGAATAAAAGGCTATTAACTATGTATAGTAATATGCATTAGTTCTCATTGATACATGCCTACCCATAAGAATCGTGATTTTCTCTAACTAATAGAATGGGCAAACTCATTTTTCTCTGTTAAAAAACAAAATCGTATAAGATAATTCACAAATAATTATGTTTTTGACAAACGATATGTATGTTCATTTACAGTCTGACCATTATATATTTAATAATTTAATGATGATTAATTATATTAGCCTTTGTTTAATTAATTTAATAATTAATTCAACAAATAACAATCATTTAAATAAATGATTAAAAAAATTACTATGAATAATAAAACGAACCATTTAAAAAAATTATTTTAAAAAGTTACTATTTAAAGATGATAAATTAATTCTCATGGTTGATTTGATCCCTTTTGAACATTCGCTTAACAAATTAACACATATCTATAGAAGTTTTCAAATAATTCTGATTATATTATTTAATGATCAAG